AAGAGAGAGAGAGAAAACGAGTGGGTGTGTGTGAGAGAGAGAGAGAGAGAGAACGAGTGTGTTTGAGAAAGAGAGGGATGAGAACGAGAGAGAGAGAGAGAGAGAGAGAGAGAGAGAGAACGAGTGTGTGTGTGTAAGAGAGAGAACGAGTGGGTGTGTGAGAGAGAGAGAGAACGAGTGTGTTTGAGAAAGAGAGTGAGAGAACGAGAGAGAGAGAGAGAACGAGTGTGTGTGTTTAAGAGAGAGAGAGAGAACGAGTGGGTGTGTGAGAGAGAGAACGAGTGTGTGTGTGTAAGAGAGAGAGAGAACGAGTGTGTGTGTGTAAGAGAGAGAGAGAGAGAGAACGAGTGTGTTTGAGAAAGAGAGTGAGAGACAGAGAGAGAGAGAGAGAGGAAGATCAAGTTCCAAAGCCACAATGTCCACTGAATGAATCTCTAATGTCACTTCCTGTTTCCTTTTGTCTGGTTTTGTCTTACACACACACACACACACACACACACACACACTGACTCAAAGCTACACGCCCCTCCAGAGTAACTCCTGCCCCTCTCTGTCGTTTCGCTGGTAGGCTGAGCGTGTGTGTGTGTGTGTGTTCACTGAGGTGATCAGTGCTGCTCTCTCAGCGGAGGGAAAAGCCGTGAATCAGGAGAACGGCGCTGAAGGAAGAAAGGCAGGAGGTCACATGAGATTCTTGAGGAGATCCGATGTGTGATTAGTCGTGGAGTTTTGGTTTACGCTTCCTCCGTCTGTGTGTGACGGCGAACACACACGTGTGCACAGGTAGACGCTGACCGGAGGACAGAATAAGAGTGTGAGGAACAGATTTTCACCAGCATGTGTTTGTAAGTGTGTTTCTGATTTCATATCCTGTTGTGAGATTTTGAGGTTTTTCTCAATGAAGTGACTGTTTGAGAGAGTTTGAATGTGTGTGTGAGTGTGTGTGTGTGTGTGTGTGTGTGTGTGTGTGTGTGTGTGTGTGTGTGTGTGTGTGTGTGTGTGTGTGTGTGTGTGTGTGTGTGTCTTGTTCTCCATCTCTAGTCTCTTTGTTTCTAAATGAATATCTGCCTTCCTCTGGTGATCTTCTGTTTTCTTTTCTTTTTCTTCATATTTCTCCCCTTTTAAATCTCTCTCTCTCTCTCTCTCAATTCAATTCAATCAAAATTGCTTTATTGGCATGACTGTACACAATACAATATTGCCAAAGCTTGGAATACATAAAGACATCAAAATAATAAAATATTATAATATGACTTAAATCTAAATGTACAAATTAAATTAATTGTACAAATTAACAGTGTACCAAATAAAAATAAATACATAAATAATAATAATAATAATAATAATTAGAACAGTTTATGAACATTTAAAAAATTCTCTGAACAATTTAGAATTCAGTGTGTAAGTGTGTGTGTGTGTGTGTGTGTGTGTGTGTGTGTGTGTGTGTGTGGGCGCATCACTGATTAGTCGTGGACTCTCTCTTTTTGTGACAAGCATCAATGTATCTTGCTGCTAATATGATACAATCTGTTTTTTCACCTAATAAGTGTTGAAATTGTGTTTTGTTGTCTAATTGTAGGACGTTAGGGCAAAGTATTTCAAATTTTGTATAAAAAGTCCCTCTAATGTCCTCATAGTTGGGGCAGCGGGTGAGGAAGTGTTGCTCGGTCTCCACTTCTCCCTGCTCACAGTACGGGCAGACGCGTCTCTCTCTGGGCCGCCAGTTCTGTCGGTGTCGGCCCGTCTCTACAGTCAGAGTGTGATTTCTCTCTCTCTCTCTCTCTCTCTCTCTCTCTCTCTCTCTCTCTCTCTTCTCTCTCTCTCTCTCTCTCTCTCTCTCTCTCTCTCTCTCTCTCTCTCTCTCTCTCTCTCTCTCTCTTCCCTGGGCTCTGTTAACTCTTTGTGTCCTGAAGGAATGACTGGTTGAGCAGATGTAGTTAGTTGTACAGATGTTTTATTCAGGTCTCTCATGTTCACTCCATCATTGATTGCCTGGGTTTGTATATTTTCCAGGAGTCAAAGTGCACAGGTTTATATCAGTCCACCAGGAAACAATTTGCATTTACAGCCTTTACAATGAGTTCTTCTGAGGAACTACATTTGCTGGATTTGACAATGTATTTGTGAGGTTCATGGCATCAGATATTCAACATTTGTTTGAGTTAGTAGTAAATAAGATGCCATGAACACAACTGTACATTATGCATGTCTTCTGAGATCTGTGAAATCTCCACAATGTTATTTCCCGGTTTCTTCGCTGTGTCATGCCATCCCTTAACATATCACAAAAGTTTAAAAAGTTGGTTTAAAAGTTGGGGGTCTGGAAAAAAAAACTACTTTTATTCAGCAAGGATGAATTAGATTAATCAAAAGTGACTGTTAAAACACTTATAATGTTACAAAAGATTTCTGTTCCAAATAAATGCTGATCTTTTGAACTCTCTATTCATCAAATAATCCTGTAAAAATTATCATATTTTCCACAAAAATATGAAACATCAGAACTGTTTTCAACTTTGATAATAATGAGAAAAATGAATGATTTCTGAAGGATCATGTGACACTGAAGACTGGAGTAATGATGCTGAAAATTCAGCTTTGATCACAGGAATAACTTGCATTTTAAAATATATTAAAAAAGAAAACACTTGCAATAATATTGAACATAATAATATTACTGTTTTTTTTTTTTAAATCAAATAAATGCAGTCTTCTTTCAAAAACAGAACCGCTACAGAACTTTAAATGGCCTCCATGTCCATTAATATCCACAGCATGTGTGTGTGTGTATTTGTGTGTACAGACTTTCATCCCCATTTAAAGACACCGAGAGAATATTTGCAGCACATGTGGATTTATGTGCCAGACTCGTGCCTATTAACACTAATTTGTCTGGACAGAGTTTTGGCACACACGTTTTCACCAAACAGAGCAATTGAATTCACAGCTTAGTTTTAATCATGCGAGATGCGAGCGCAGCGTGCGCTTATTAAAGCTGCTCACTGTAAACATACGCTTTGAGTTTGAGGTTCCCTCGCAGATATGAGCCGCCAGACATGTTACGAGATCAATCTGCTTTCATAACCTTCAATGCCATGTGTGTAATCTTAATAAGGGCCCGTGACAGAGTCAATACACACAACGGTTGATAATGTGTGTGTTATTTCTGAAGATTTACATCAGGAATAAACTAGTCTTCTGTTCTGCAGTTCACAATATATCCAAAACCAGACCAAGCTAATTTAGACTTGTTCAAGTCTGGTTATTTTAAACCACTAAAGCAAGTGGTTGTGTAAAAAATATTTTTGAACACATTAAAAATAACATTTAAATGTATAATATTTAGATCTTTGAAGTGCTGGAAAAAGTAGTGAAAGCACTTGAATTTCACTCTCAAAAGGAAATTAATAATGAACCCTGAAATGAATAATGTAAAAACATTGGACTATTTCTGCCACAATACCATGGTTACGGTTAGCGTTACTACTTTAAATCCATCGTGAATGTTGGTGATTTGTGGACTGAAAAAAAGCCTTCTATAACTTGTTCGTTCATGGCACAATGTTTCTCCTGGTTTCCACGACAACGCTGTTTTATATAATATGGTTTATATCCAAACAACACGCCTAAAAAACTATGGGTGATCGGCTTTTTCTTCTTTGGCTCTAAATTGTGTAATTCCCTGCCCTCTGAGATTAGGAATGCAGAATCCATTGGTGCTTTAAAACTTACTTTTTTAGGGTAGCTTTTACTGTGATCCATGTGATTATTTTGTTTGTTATTATATTGGCTGTTTATTTTTTATTGCTTGTTTAGTGTTTACTGCCTGGACTGTTATGTGTGTCTTTAACCTCATTATTTTTATGTACAGTGCTTTGAGATGCTACTTTTAAAGGCACTATATAAAATAAAGATTATTATTATTATTATAACAGAATTCTGTGCGGAAATCAAAATTTGTTTATGTTTACAAAATACACTTAAGTTGATCAGTGAAATAGTTTGACTTTTTTTTGTTGCACTTTTGTCAGGTAAATAAAGGTTAAAGGGTCATATAATGGTACATGCACTTTTACAAGTTGATTGTACTGAAATGTGTGTTGGCAGTGTCTGTACACAGCCATCATATAATGATAAAAATCCATCCAGTGTTTTTTTTTTAATCTCCTTATATGTTTTCCCCTGCCTCCAATCGAGCCGTTCGACCGTGTGACGTCACACGCTCGGAAGCCCCTCCCACAATTGTTGATTGACAGCAGCGTTTCAACACAGACCCGCCCTCGCTCGTGAGGGAGCTGTCAATCATAGTCCGCGCGGACCGGCGCGGCCATTGTTGATCTGCTGGAGCACTGTCTATGAGCAGAATGGCGTCTAAGCGATTGTGGTGTTCTGTTCTTGGGTGTAATAACGAACACAGTCATTTTAATGTTCCTTAATCGAACCGCTGAAGACGCAGTGGCTGAGTTTGTTTTCGAAGGGAATATTCCCACGAGCAACGTCAATGCTTTCATGTTCGCTGCGAATCATTTCTCACCAGACTGCTTTATAAACGAGGGTCAGTATAAAGCTGGTTTTGCTAAGAAGCTGCTCATGAAAAAAGGATCTGTACCAGCTATTCGTGTTCCTGCTGAACGTCTAGAACACCTGAAGTGAGTGTAACGTTTTATTAAACTTTATATTAGTATATTAATCTTTGCAGATCGCTAGCTGCACGCTTCACAATGAATGCGTCTAAGGTTTACACTCAGGGTACATTACGGCATGTTTTCTATGTACGACGTTCTCAATATAATTCATAATCCCACATTTATAATGAACAACGCGTTATGGTTATTGTGTTATTGTGTTACAAACATAGACACAGAACAGAGGGGCGGGGTGAGCGAAGCTCATTATCATTTAAAGTCATATGCACTGAAACAGTGTGCTCAAAACAGTGCTGTTTTTGACCAAGTAAAATAAGTGTTTTCTTACAATACTAATGAGAATTTGTAATTAAAGTATATTACAAACTTTTAATTTAGACCCTAATGAATCATATTAGCTTGTACAAAAATGGCATTATATGACCCCTTTAAAAAATAATTAACAAATTGCACATTCTTGATTTTATTGCATTGTACAAAATGTCCCAATTTTTCTGGATTTGGGTTGTACAGTAAATTACACACACTCACCACATCTCAAATGTTCTTACTAATTACATATACTTTTTTTTAAATAAACACAACCGCTTTAAAATTTGCATTTTCCATATGGGTGTGTAATTTACTAAGTATCATCCAGTTATGTGAATATATGAATTATAATATGAATTATTTTACTATTTGACGTCATCCCTGCACCGCTCTATAATACTATGATGTAAAACCGGCCGATCAGTTTTGAGCTCGCTGTTTTGGAGATCTCTTGTGATTTTTGTGTATAATATGCATCATTTGAGGCTGAAACTTCAGGAACACAGTAATGCAGAACTGAGCTTTGAGTCTCCACAGGAACATCAACCGTTCTGGCCTGATTCTTTCAGGCTTTCCTCCAGAACTTTGTCTGATTTGCTGCAGTTAATGTGTGACTTTGAGCGTGTGTATATCTACCGTGGCTCTTTGTGTGTGTGTGTTTGGGTATTGTGGGTTTGTCTGCCGTGTCAGCACAAACACAGAGTCAGCGCTGCGTGTGTGTGTTCTTTATCAGTGCCAATTCAGTTCAGTAACAATGCCGTAACGTGACTGTGTTTGTCCAGGTGGATCTACAGAGAGAAAACACCATCCATCTCTCTCTCTCTCTCTCTCTCTCTCTCTCTCTCTCTCTCTCTCTCTCTCTCTCTCTCTCTCTCTCTCTCTACACA